CTATATCTTGTATTTATTATTTTAGCATCCGGACCAAATTTTTGTAAACCACCAGTAATGACATCTTACTCAAGTTGTGACTTTGATCAATAAGAAGAAGAGAGAAGAAGAATGACATTAACGGGTGCTGTTAAAACTTACTTCTTGATTCAAAGTCACACTTGAGTAAGATGTCATACTGGTGTTTTCACAAATTTGGTCCGGCTCTAAATAATAAACAGATATAGCGACTCACACACTAATTGTGTACAATCATAATATACAAACGACCATGTTCGGACCCTAAAACATTGTGGCATTCTGTGTTTCTTTTGTATCTTTATACATAAAACTTTATTTTAATAACGTCCATAAAACTGATGACCCCCAATAAAATTAGACACAATAATTAGTACAAAATTTGATTATGATAATAAATTTATATATATAAATAGTTCGACGGTAATATTTGACCCCTTATATGTACTTGTGTAAATAAAAACATTAAGAGTTTTGTTTGTTACAATCAGTCGTTTATGTCTTTAATGTATAAATGATAATCCTTTAAGTCACAAAAATACTCTATTACAACTCTTTTACATATTTTATAAGAAAATTTTTCGTTTTTAACTTGTCTTTTGAGTAGGAATCCCTCAACCGGTCGCAAAATGCCACAACTGCGTGTAGAATGCCACAACTGCTTAATTTCTTCCTTGACCTCTATTGAAGTAAATTGTTTACCGGTAACCTTGAGTTTTTTTGAGTTGAAAAGTTTGTAAAGTCCTATTTTCCGTAAATTATAGTTAGGAATAAAAACGGTGAGTCTGTGGGTGAAATTTTGTCCTTGAACCGTCATTCCGTATAGCTAGAGAACTTTTCAAGGTATTTGAGTATAGACTAGAGAACTTGGAGGTATTTGAGTATAACCTAAGAACTTGTCAGGTATTGAGTAGTAAATGTCTAGGTACCTCTTTTTGTAATTCTTACAAGTAATTAAGTCGGAAACCTTTACCTTTTAGAGACATTTTAGAACTTGACGTAGAATAAGTCCCGTACTTAAATTTGGACCGTTGTTGCTAACTTTTCCAGGAGTAGATCCTTCCAGGTACTGGAGCTCCTCTCGACATTTTCTATAGGCGAACACCGCCGGAACACCGCCTGACCATTACTACCCACTTAAAAACTGGATATAGCGTCATCTTACGCCTTCGTATCCGTCTGTCAAGAAACCGTGGGAACAAGGATAACTTGGCTAGAAAAATCTTATGGTGTTGACAGAAACTCCGGACGCAATTTCAATCAACGTAAAAAGTACCTAAATATTATTTTTAAATTGTACATTTCTATATAGTTTGAATAATTAACTTAAAATACATGATCACAGTAGCTATTGTGTTTGTTTTATTTGACTTTTAACAATTATTTAAGTATTGTAAAGTCATGGAACTTGCTTTCGGACAAGGGTATTTTTAGGTTCAGGCAGCACACTAGGTGATGTAAAATAAAATATATGTGTAAAAAAGCATTAATTCACATTTTGTGGTATAAATAAGTTCTTGTTTTATTGTTTAATCCAATTATTGGACATTTTTTAAACACATTTTAAGAATTACAATGACTTTTATCTCGCGGACATGTTTTGTCCCTCATCTCAAGAATCCCACTTTAGTAAAAAATAAATAATATTTGTGTTTAATACAAATGTGAAAACTAAATAATTGTTTGCATATTGTGCATTATAAAATGCTACTGTGCTAGAGTTTACTGTATCCGTAATAAAATATATTGAATTCAAGTAAAATGAGAATGTTTGGATTTTCTGTATCAGTCACATCAGCCAACCTTTTGCACAAAACCTATACCCCACAAGTGGGTCTGTTTACTCTTTGTCAGTTTGATTTTTCGATTAGTTTCCGTGTAAACGGAGAACAAATTCGAAACGGAGAACAAATTTGAAACCAAAATTGGCCTCCATTGTTGTGCACAACCAAGTGTTCAAGCTCAGATCTCTAATGATCTAATTGGTTATATGGCTTTTAACATGTGCATTCTGGGTGCATGGCCTTGATAATTGAGTGTGGTATTTCAATGGCAGTGTTTAGCAAACAACACACAGGCTGCCGGTTTTGAATAACGTGTCTAGTGTTAATAAGAGCGTGTAGTTGTTTGCAAAAAGTGTATTTTGGAATATCAAACTTAGTGTAAAGCAGACAATGTGCTTATGGTATAGCATATCTGTTCAATAGATTAAAGGCAACTTGAGTTTGTGGTTTCAATAATTGTGCCAAAAGCACCAGTTTGTGTCTTGGTAATTGCACAAAGCTGTAATAGGCCACAAATAATCAGATTTTTCTCAGAAAATTCTCTGATAATTCATATTGAATATTATCTATCGTTGCAGCTTTAACCACACTATTTAAAATGTTGTTTTCCTTCATCTTTTATTTTAGTTCATATCATAACCCCTGCACCATATGTTTGTTCTTGTTAAATCCTTCAGGCAGATTCTACTTTATCTCACAAGAGTATGAACTATATGTTATTATGTTTTTGTGTTAAATAAAGCCATTTAAAAAAATGTACTGTACTGAATGTTGTTAAATGTTACAAAAGCTTTTTGTCTTGATCAGATTTTGAGTCTGTTACAAATATGATCATTGCTTTATTTATCTGTATCTCATTACTCTGAACAGTGATTTAAGAAACACCAGACATAATCCTCAACATACAAGTTTTTTGACATTAATCGTAATATATCAACAGACATCTCAGGCATTTCATAGGTAGAGACACACAGAGGTCTGTTGTCTCTTGTATCACTTGGATCACGTCACTGTCTCTGTATATGTGTTGAATCAGCATATTTTCCTCTTTAGGTGACCTTAAGAGACTTTAAGATGATAGTTTGGATTGTTTGAAGTGTATAACCTCCAGAAGACAGCGGTTGGCACGACCCCAGTTAGTAGAAGAGACAGGAGTACCAGCACAGCAGCAAAACGTATTTTATCCACCCAAAAATCACTATATTTAGCGTTAAATAACATACACTTAAACTGATATAGCTTTTTTGGGTGGATAAATGCTTCTGCCCAAGTCTTCAGCAGTACATGGCTCTGCTGTGCCGGGGCTCCTGTATGTTTCTCCACACGACTACTGTAGGTAATACACCACATACTACCCCACTTAAAAAGAACAGAACTATCCCCTTAAGTTTTTTGTTGTTCACAACAACTTCATAAGTACAACTTGAAAAATGTCTCCCGCTTGCTGCTGGGTGCAGGTGAAAATAGATCGACATTTCTGTTCACATCGCTGACATTTGTCACAGGTAAATCTTGTAGGTATCGCAACAAACATGACATTGTCACACAGCGACAAGCTGGACACTGGATTTACCAAATAACTACACACTCTTATTTACATTAGACACGTTATTCAAAACCGACAGCCTGTGTGTTGTTTGCTAAATACTGCCACTGAAATACCACACTAAATTATCAAGACCCTACACCCAGAATGCACATGTTAAAATTAGATCACTTAGAAACCTGAGCATGAACACTTAAATAGGATTCAGGTTTGCTCTTTGATGTGCACAACAATGGAGGCCAATTTTGGAGAGAGAGTTAGAAGGTAAGAGGTAAATGCAATATACTATATTTTGTCTTCAGTACCATACAGTAACTATGTTCATGTCATCTTCACTCACAATAAAGTCATTGTGTCTGATACGGTTATGAGTATTGAGAATAAACCTATTTGTGAGTTTCCACATTGCATGTGTTCATTCATAGTCCATATTTACAGCGTGCTACAAATGAAAATCCCTAAAACTTTGACTTGAATGTCTTATTTATTAATCAACTAATGGACAGTGTTTCAATTCAGTTCATGTAAGCCTTATACACACATTCCTCTTTTGCGCTTCTAGCAGTGATTATGGCCTGCATGTCTTTCTGTTCTAACTCAGCAGTCAGCTTCTTAGCAGTTTAGACAAACATCAAATTCATAATTTAGACTAGTTGGACAAAATAATGCTTAACAACTGTTCAATTTACTGTGTGTACTGTTTTAGGGGTTGACTGTATGATATACCGTTCTCCCGCTTGCTGCTGGGTGCAGGTGAAAGTAGGGCGACAGTTCTGTTCACATCGCTGACATTTGTCACAGGTAAATCTTGCAGGTATGCAACAAACATGACGTTGTAACCAGTTGTCACAAAGCGACAAGCTGGACACTGGATTTACCGACACAGTAGCCTACAAACCAAAAGTCTTTGGCAGTAGTTAAAACGATGTTGCCATGGGTGTTCATGTCAACTTGTTTTGTGTTTTATTGTTTGAGCTAGACCTCTTGGTTTTGATTGATACGATACGCAACATTATTAACAGTATTATTATTGTCGGCTTGAAATACAATTATTTGTGCGTCCTATTTTTGCGCAGCACTGTTCAATAAATGTAGGCTACATCCTTAGGCAGTAGGCTACTGTTCAATAAATGTACACAACACAGAACATACAACATAGTGTTTACATTCTGTAAAATATAGATAAACTCAGAACAATAAAACGTATGAAAACATCAACATTATAACCAGTCCGTTACAATAGTTACACATCACACAATCTAGTCGTAGAAAACAAGCGCATCGCTTTGAATGGAGGGACTGTCAATGGAGGGACTGCTCTCATATTTAAAATAATAGAGCATTCAGAAAGAGATCTGTTTGCAAGTCTGAGGTTTCTCTCGTTGTAAGTTGCTTGAAGAGATACACCCGCACATTTGGGTTTGATTAAATAGTTCAATTTCATATTTCAGACACAGCCAGCTGAGCAAGACCATACTGCAGTACAGCATGAGACTATGTAAGACTGGTTTAAAAACTGGAAATCACTGAGGCAGGTATAATATATATTCCTTCAGTTTTTTTACTTACTTTTTCTTGTTATTGAATAGTCATCGACTTTCTTCTGTAACACTGACATGGATCATTTTATCCAGCAGGTGGCGAGGAAAACATCGAAAGAGATATTTTTACTTCCGGGTCGGCAGCTCTTCCTTTCCCGTCGGCCATTTGTCCTATACGGTGCGTATCTGTCGAGCTCTCGCCTTAAAAACGCTTTAAAATAACCTTTTCTCCCTACGTTGCCGCAATATTATCTTAGATATGTCAACGTGAATGTGACTTTGTTGTTTTAGATAAGTGTTGGGATGTGTTTATGGGACTTAATTGTGTGTAACTATCAGACGTTTGTCGAGTGTGTGAGCAGCCACATGCGGCCGCTCTGAGCGCTCCGTATGCTAACTGATGTGCTAGCTGGCTAACGAGTCATTACTGGTTTCTGAGTAACATATCCTCAGACTGTATTTGGTATTTGTGTTATTATTCAAACGGTGTTATTTCTGCGTTGATATGAAGAATATACGACTGTTGGAACATTACAATGCCTGTGAGAGTGTTAGCATAGTTACACTAGCTAGTTAGCGCAAAAAGGAAAACGCGCATCTGATTTTTCTGTTTTGGGGTTTCTTTCTTTCAGATTTGTAGGCGACCGCCTGTACAACCTGTAAACATGCAGAACGACGCTGGTGAATTTGTGGACCTCTACGTCCCACGTAAATGGTGAATATGTTTTACTCAGTTAATGAATGAAGAAATATGAATATCCTTTTACTTTGAAGAGACCCTCTTGTTCTAAAACACCAATAAAATACCCCAAAAGAGTACGTCTTGTGTTAAAAAACGTATCTAAATGGATTTAAGTTACAACAGAATGTTTTCCAACTAGAAGTACTTGTGAGAAATGCATTAAAAAGTTCCCTATTGCATGTGATGCTCTTGAAATACATTACTGCTGCACATGTGTGTTTCATTGTAAATGCTGTAAATGTTAAAGCTTGATTACATGACGTGTATTTAGCTTTATATACTGCTGGGTAGTCTAAGCTTCAGCAATGCATCATAATCTACAAGAGCAACTTTTCATGAGATTTCACCCTCTGTTTTTAGCTCTGTAACAAATCTTTCTTCACATGAATTGAAATGGACAGAATGTTCAATACTTGAAGGAAAACATTTAACATCAGCCCATTTGAAGATGCATGCTTTTCACTAAGAATGAAATGCAAAACCATGATCTGAAAAGTAACTAAAGTCAAATATACTTTTTTTTTTTTTAAATGCTCTCTGAGATGTACTTGATTAAGAAATTAAAGATGCATTAAAACAATAGAGTAGAGTCAGGGCACCTAGGACTTTGCTTGTACAGCATTCACGTAAATATTTTTGGAATACCTACTTGGGGATTAAACTTGATTCAACACTGTGTCAAAAAATAAAGCTATTTGCCAGTTCAATTGTAGCATTAGTGATCTGCTGGATACTCCATTATGTAGAGCCGTAAAGGATGGTGACATTTAATTAACATGACCATTACAAATAATGTATGTTTGTATTTCAGCTCTGCTAGCAACAGAATCATTGGAGCCAAGGACCATGCCTCCATCCAGATCAACATTGCTGAGGTAAAAACAGATTGCATCTTTTCCTATGCAACAGAAATGCATGAAACTAAACCAGTCTGTCTAGATTGGGTCTGTTAGTTAGACCATCTGTGTTGATGAATAATATCAGTTATTTGTATTTATAATGAATACTTAGTATCAAGACCACAATGATACCACTTGGTATGCCAAATAGAAGCTTATATTCAACCTTATTTAGAACATTCAGCTAAAGTAAGCGTACATTAAATGTAGATATTGTATGTTGATACAAGCAAAAAATATATATTTAGCACATTTGCCTGAAAACAAGTTTTTATGTTGAAATATGCTTGAAACATTTATTTGTAAGCAATGTGTTTTACTCTTGTGTTGCTTTGAATGTTGTGCAAGCTTGGAGAAAAAACCGTAAACTTCAATACATGCAGACTTAACCCACCCTAGCTGATGAGTAGCAAAGCTAACGGAGTGATTTAAACCATAAGTGGCATTCATTTTGAAGGAGAACGTTTTTGTTTTACAGTCAAACCCTGCATTCCCTGCTCTTGGGGAAATAACATTAACACAGCCAAAAAAGACATGCTGGCATAAATGGCATTTAGGTTTTTTAATATACCTAAAAAGATCACCATAGTTCAGTCTTAATAAAGATTTTAATAATCTAAGTAGCCACTAGTTTGCTGACACATGCTGTGCCTGTTTTACAACTCTAAACAAAGTTATTTCAAACAGTAGTCCCAGTGTTGGTTGTTCATATTTGCATTGAGTTGCCACAACAGCATTGTGGTGGAGAGTGAATAGTTGAAGGAAACACTGATGATAACATGTTGTGAAGGCAGGACATTTGAGTCATCAAGCAGGCTCCATAGAATTGAAACTCGAATATGCTTGGAAGACCTTTTACATAATCAATAGACCATGAATGAATACTTATTATCATTATGGTTGGAAATGAACCCAATTGCATGTTAAGCCTGAGTGTCAATAGTTTTTAAACAAATGATGTATACGTGACGGGTTGCTGCTGTGTTTCTAGATTGTTCGGTATGTCATGCTTTAAGGCATTGGCTCTTTTAGCTTCATGTGTAAACCGATTGCTCAATTTCCAAACTCGCTACATGGGTTTGTAGATAAAATTATTGTTATGTAGTTGCATAGTTTGACTGCAGGTTTTCTTGAAAATCAAATGCTCAATACTTTTAAATTTGACAAATGATATGAATTCAAAGTGATAAATTGTAGGTTACACCGAGTCTGATTACAATTGGTTTTCATATTGCTCGTGGATAAATATAGAACAGTAGCATTTTTTATTTTTAAACAAAAGTACAGTCTATACATTCATTTAGGAAAAATCTAACGTGTTTTTATAAAGGCACGTTTGAAGTGTTGACCAGCTGTTTTGGACTGTACATGTTAAGCAGTGTGCTCTGTTCTCTGCAGGTTGACAAGGTGACTGGTCGCTTCAATGGGCAGTTCAAGACCTACGCTATCTGCGGCGCTATCCGCAGAATGGTGAGCTTCAGCTGGATTTCTGTTGCATTGTGCTTTCACTGCTGTCATATCCAAACGGAAAACACCTCAGTCATTTAGTTGTATGATTTCTTCATCAGAGTTAAGAGTTGCAATACCTTTATCCTTACCCTAATTTTTTTTTTTAATAATTTCAGCTGTAAATAGTGTGTAGTACAGTATAATTGTTGTAGATGTGCAGTTTCTGTCGTCCTTCCATTAGGAATTAGATGGCAGAGGAAGGTCTTTATTGTGTTTGAACAGATTTGAGATTATATTTGTTTCCAGTGCTTTGCTGTGAAGTTAAAATGGAAAGCTTGACAAAGCTTGTTGCTGGTTCTATTATCCTATAGTCTTTACTGGAAACCTAACCACCATGAGATCGTCTTCTAAATGCAGAAAACCTTTGAATTAACACTTGTTTTCCTCCTATAGGGCGAGTCTGACGACTCCATCCTCAGGCTGGCAAAGGAGGACACCGTGGTTGCAAAGTAAGAATCTGCTCACTTATGTCAGTAGTAGGGATGGGAAAGATAATTCTCTAAAGGTGTGTTTCGCTCCGCTCACCGGTCCCCCACAGCGGGCAGAGCTGCAGGTGCGGATCTCTCTCGCGCGCGTCCGGTTATACTTCACTTGCGTTTATGTCCAAATCCATCAGATCTAGCTAATGATATGGCTGCTGCCCCTCCCTACACGCAGATCACACAGACTCAAACCTCATCTTATGCCCAAATTCCAGCTGAAAGGGTCTTCTCTACAGCTGGCCTGATAGTGAATCGTCTCCGCACCCGCCTCTCCCCTGAGTAGACATGCTCATATTTAGGGGTGGGCGATATATATCACGATATTTTTTCATGTCGGTTATTATGGTTATTTTTCAAGTTACTTAACAGAACAACCACCTACAAGGTAACAGAAACTAAAACAAAAAGGAGTAACAGACCAAAATAGCATTTCAAGTTGGTTTTATTTCTGAAATGAATCCCTGAATGAACAATTCAACATTTTGATATGGCTTCAAGGCACAGTTTCTCAGTATAAAAATGAACTTTCTGAGGTAGCACTAGCAGTGAACATCAATAAACATGAAAAGGAGGGTAAAACATAACTAAGTAAAACATAAAACATCAATGAGGAAAAGTCAGTGCCAAACAATTAAAATGTAAACTTTAGACTTGAAGTGCAATAAAAGACTTTAGCATAACTGAAGGGAAAAACTATATAAATACCTTATTGATAAAATAAAATAGAAGCCAACAGAATCAAACAAGACAATAAATACAATATACAATACTGTCTGAATCCTGACTAGACAGCTTTAGAGCATGTCTTTCACATCAGTTTTCTTTTCCAATTTTTTTTTTTTTTATCACGATAGATACGATATCTCCGAAAAAGCATATCGTGGAGACCTAATATCGTCACGACGATATATATCGTCATATCGCCCACCCCTAGCTGAACCCCAAAAATGGAGGCATGTTTACTCTAAAACTAATTGACATTGGACACTTAGTTGACTTATTGTTTATTTTTGGATACTAGAGTAGGCAGATTTATAATGCAAATGTAGACACTGCATATAGTTGCATGAAATAAGTTACAAAATAAGTGCGCCAATGCTTTTACTTCTTTCTATAACAAATTCCATGGTGAAAACAAAAACAATGACACACTTATTGTCTTTCAACACTGCTTTCCACTGAAGACGTTTGTCTTTAAAAGTGCGTCACAAATATTTAGAGTGATTGGAGCTCCGGGGAGTCTTCACAGCTGCGGGGCGGGGTTAGTGGGATCGATACACAGTGAGCATGTTCAGCATAAAGTAGACACATGCGACCCAGATCCAAACTGTGGCCCAATGATGAGTCTGTTATCACTTCGGAATAACAAAGCAGGAATTTTAATTTTAAGATGATTAGTGTACAGAGGAATAAGATACGTCAGGCTTTGGATACAGAGGAAATTCAGGTTAGCAGCATAAGGTGATTGTTGGTGTGCTTTGTAGGATTTGTAGACAATAACAAAAAAGAAGAATCTACCCTCTCACTACAGACATTGTATATAGATAAAAAAAAGAAGAAAACTAATAAAATATTGTTAAACCTGTATTCAGTACGTAATCCTTACGTGTGAAACCAGGAGTTTATGACATTTACTCTGCCGTTTTATAAACATGTATCTGACTAAATTCGATAAATCAGTCAATACTCTGTTGACAATATAAATACAGCTGCTGGAGTCACATTTGGTGGGAATGTTTTGACACTTTCACTTTAAGTTCAGCTTGTCTGAACATGCAAAAGCGTGATATGAAATCTGACACTTGACACATAGAGAAGAAAAGGGTGATGAGACGCTTGGTGGTACCAGCTTGACATAAACAACCACCTCCCTATTCTGTCCCCCCTAATAGCTGTTCACAGCCCGACTTCCTCCAGCAGCGACCCTTCACTCCCCCCTCCAAAAAACCCCCCTTACATTGGCCAGTTGCCGGCCGTTTTCAGGAACTTGTTTTTGTGCACTATCTCAGAATTCTGAGCAACTCAGGTTTTCTTCCAGGAACTACGATCCACTGAGCCTGTGCAAACACACACACACACACACACATGCTCCTTCACACACATGCTCCTTCATACACATGCTCCTTCACACACACACACACACACACACACACACACACACACACACACACACACACACACACACACACACACACACTCCTTCACACACACACAGTCACACACACACGTAGTGCACATGCACATTACTTGGCAACGCACGCTATGAGTGACCCACGCATTATGGATACAGAAGAGAGGCCTCATTGGTGGGGGGCGGACAGGCGGGATTCCTTTCAATGTGTTGTCCACCAATCAGTGCAGGCAGGGTGATAAACATGGTTGTAACAGGATCCTCGCAGCACATTGTGTTCCTTCTCAACAGAAAAAGAAAAAAAACCTCAACTAGCCTCTCCTCACTTCCTGCAAACAGTTAATCCTCTTGTTTGTTCTATTCTGAATTTACGGGAACTTAACATCTTCTTCAGGCATAAATATCATACTGGCCTCCCTCCCATGTGTGTTGGTTAACATGGAGGCTAAACAACAAAAGGATCAAATAAGCATGCAGACCAGGGGAGTGAGTCATAGAGGCTGGGGACACAAAGTGAGAGGTACAAACTGTCCTTGTCTTTACACAGAATGGGGCCAATTAAACCACACTGCAGAGAAGGCATGCATCCTGGAAAAGTACTTAAAGCAGCCAATACCAAGAAGTTGTTATTCAACCCAAAACCTATAATAAAGGGGCATAAACGCAAACAAATCATAATGCAAGTAAAAAGGTATAATCAAAACAAAACTTTTTTCACAATATTTATATCTGCTACAGACAGGGTCGCCTACGCATTTTGAAGTCAGTCCTCGTGATCACTTCCTAACCGCATGCAGAGCCTGTTGAATCTGGTTTGGTAAGAGGGACGGGAGGGAAGTGTGGGAGTGTTTCCGGTCAGAGGGCGGCGTTTGTTTACCAGCTGCAGAAGCCACATGGCAGGAGTGAGTGTCACAATGCAACCGACCCTCAGTTAGTCAGTTATCCTGTCAGCTGACTGGGGCGCTCCTTTAACCGCACAGAGCCCCTCTGGCCTCTCCAAGAGGAACCAAAGCATTTCTTTACTTACTCAGCAAAGAACTAAGACAACAAGCCCGGGGAGGGTCAGGCCACTAAAGTTCATGCTCGCTGGACCTGTGTCAAGTACAACATTCAATTATTCATTAACTATAAAAAGACCACTAGAGTAAAACTCAGTAACTTCAATAAAGGAAGGGTTCAGGAGTTACCATTGTTTTTTAAGGGGGTGATCAGAAGTAATGAGACTAGATGGAAGTCTGTATAAAGTCTAAAAAGCTGTATTTATCAGTGTTTTTGAAACAACAATGGAAAAAAAAGAAGACGATAATTTCAAGAGTGCAGACCTTTGGCCACACTGTCTCCAATAGTGAAAAATAATTTGTGCAACCGCCCTGTGATTCAGATCTTTTCCAAAATGTAATTAGTTCTTTCTTGGCTTCTTAACCGACACCAGATGATTTGTTACACAGAGCCATCTGAGACGTCATCACTGAAAACTGTTTGTAAACAGTACAACCGCTTTTATCAAAATGATTTGCAGTTGATTGGATTAACCATCGGTCTATTCAACTCTTGCTGAAGCCAATCAGAAGAAGTTCTTCAACATACTCAAAGTCTGACAGACAGGATTGATTTAAGTTTGATCTCGCCAGTATTCAGCTGCCGTTTAAGGTAACAATGCTACAACCTTGAACCAAGTTTCATTAAATTTAGACTTCAGTTTATCTGTAATCCTGCTGACAGACAAACAAACCAAAACACTGAAACCCATAACCTCCTCTATGAGGTAACAACTACATGTGATGTAAAATAAGTCAGACTTAGTGATAAACCCCAATGAAGATCAACACTCAACTAATTCTAGTGTCTTTCAGCTCATGGTTTTGGTTTTACAGCCCACAATACCTCAACACTCTCATACGCATTGTTTCAACTCACAAGCAGCTGCCTTTTTTAAGCAAAAAGGTCTGATATACCCAGCAAGACCACTAGCAACTTCTCCAGTAGGATATTCATGTGTTGAATTAGCCTTTCACTCTCTGGAGGGATGTGTGGGTCAGCATTTGTAGATCCACCAATAGGAAAGCTCTCTCTCTGGAATGACCTGTGATTGGCCAAAGACTTAACTTAAGAGAAGTACTTTTTTATACTACTTAAAGTGGACCTATCATGCTATATTTGACAAATATATTGTAGGGCCATACCTATATAAAACATGTCTGTGAAGTTTTTTTTTCAAAATACCAAACAGATCCTGCATTTTAGCCATGCCTCATTTCGCTCTACTTGCTCTTTTCCAGCCCTGTTTTTGCAGGGGCTGATTCTGTGACGTAGCTTTAATGCACATGAGCTGCAGCTGACGCCCCCCTGTAGGAGAGGGGAGCGTGGTCTGATCAGCTGCTGGGCTCTCAGAAGAGGGGGAGGAAAAGAGAGGCTCCGTCCTCCGTGTTTTATTCTTATATGATTATATAGATTCGTTATTCATTTGCTTTAAAGCTCAATAAATAACAAAGAAGACCTTTGACCGGCACTTTTCTAATTTTGTCAGGAAGATTTTAACTTTAACGGAGATGTTGACCGGCGAATAAAAAATCTAACTGAAACTCTGCCGCACGGTCCCCTCGTTCCTTGGAAGAGGCGGAGAGGTGGGTGTTTGTCATCTGCTGGTGGACTACCGGAGAAATTTACAACAGGAGCAAAGGCTTGCCTCGGGGAAGGAGAAAAAGAGCCAGAGCGTCCACAGCGGAGAATAAAAAGAAGGGCAACCATGGCAACCATGCGCAGGAAGTCTTCTTCGCTGCTTTTGTGGCAGGACTACAGCGCCACTTACAGGCCTGGCATATGTACTACAGCGTCT